CATGCATTCATTCAACAGACACTTACTGAGTGCCTACTGTGTGCCAAGGATTTTAGGCAATGGGGATGTTGAGATAAAACAGCCTTACTGAGCATATGTTCTTGTGGGACAGCAATTAGTGAATATATAGCCTGGTGTGTGTGTGTGGGGGGGGGGCAAGTACTTGGGCATACATGTGAGTGTGGGGAGAGGGGGTTACTGGTTTTACTTGGATGAAGAGGGAAGGCCTCTCAAGAAAGTACCCTTTCCTTAGAGATCTGAAGGGAGGACGCAACACTGACTTGAGATTTTCCTGGTTTGTTTGCTACTTTGAGCCCCCATCCACCCCGACAGCACCCAGATCCACAAGAGTAGAGACCTTGCCTTGTTCACTCCTCTGTCTCCAGTGCTTAGAATGGGGCCCAGCACATAGTAGGTGCACAGTACATGTTTAGGGATATAGAGGGGAACCTTGGCACATTCTTGATCATCGCTGCTGCCTTAACTTGTGTAGCCAAGAGGAGAACGGCTACTCAGAGAGGTACACCTTTTTAAAGCAAATCACACCTTCTTTCTAACCTGTCACTTTTGAAAGCATAGTCTTAGAAAGGGGCTCATTTGAGGATGTTGAAATGGTGGTCTCTAAATAAGTAGATTGGAACATTCTAACAAGATGGTGTTTCATAAGAAGAGGTGAGATGCCAGAGTAAGCGGTTGCTTCTGGCAACCAGAATTGAAATTTATGAGAGGAGGAGGATGGGGGCCAAAGAGGAAGGATATCAGAACCCAGGAGGGGGCAGCAGGCTTTGCAGCCCACAGCTGCCAGGGTGGCACAAATGTGCTTTTGCATGTTTGTGAGAATCATTTCACTTGTGACGTTGTTAAAGAAAAATTTACTCTGACACTTATTAAAACAGTGGGAAAACTTGATTCAAGACTATTGCAATAGGGGAGAGAGATAGGGCTTAACTCTGGGTACAAAAACGACAGCTGGGGATTTACAGCCAACGAGCAGAACTGAGGGTCAGTGGATAGAGAATTACTAAGAGAAGACACCAGGGGTGGGGGGATTCTTGCTAAAAATGGCCTAACAGGATTCTTGCTAAAGGCAGGCCAAAGACTTAGACATCAAAGGTGGGGCGTGGGGAAGTTGATCAGATCCTGAGGGTAGGCAGATTCTCTCCAAACTGACTTAGCAGGGTTCTTGTTGAAACTGGACTATGCAAGGATGAACATGGAAGCCCAGGGTTGTGGCCTCATTAAGAAGAGCTCAGAGGAGCCTAACTCAAGTCTGATCAAGGAGAGTGTCAACCTTACTTTCCTCGTCTGGGAAATGGAGAAAATAATGCCAGTGCAACCCACCCACGGGGCCGTTGTGAAATAAAGTCAGCCAGGAGGCACCATGTAGACTTCCCATGGCTGAACAAATGTGAGAGAGGGTCTGATTATAAAGCTGTGCCTCCTGTGTTGAGGAGAACCTGCCACTTGGAAAGTCCTCTGTGCACTTCTGTTTTAGTAGCCCACTCAGCCTTTTGCTCACTGTGTCCCATGTTATTCTAGCAACATCCATAGCACTGAATTAACTTGGCAGTGGCCAGCTGATGCGAGGAGGAAGAGGAGCTGATGTGAGGGGGCACGGATTTAGGAATTGGCTCTGGAAAGAATCTGTAGACAGGGCAGTAGGTAAGGGGGCAGAGGCAGTCGGCAGTGCTCAGGCCACTTAAACCGCTCCTTGTGCTAAAAGGTTTCTCCATGACCACGACACAGTTAGAAAGACGACATTGTCTCCCTGAGAGCTAGTTTTGAAGCAGTAGGGCAAAGAGGATTTATTGGAGCGACAGCCTAATCTTTTGGGGGGAAATCAAATTATATTCTTATTTTACACCATACTTCAAAATAAACACGAGACGGATAGAAATATTAAGTGTAAGAGAAAAACCATAAGGAAAACGTAGGTGAATGTCTTATATAATTTTGAAAGTAGGGTTGGTGATTGTGACATCAAAGGGACAAAACAAGCTTAAGTTTGCTTAGTGACAGAACTTGTCGCTTACAAAAGAGATGCAAATGCCAACGAGTAAAAAAAATGTTTGCAGCATTTATTCAAAGACTATATTCTTAAGATTATAAAGAACACTTACAAAGCTGTAAACAAAGATGAATACCATAAGAGAAAAATGTTCACCAAAGAAGACATTGCTAATAGCCAACAAACAGATGGAAAAACTCACCACCACTAATCAAAAGAAATGTAAACAAAACCAAAAAATTGAAAACGCTTATTCAAAAGATTTCTATCAAGAATGTGGGATATTACATACAGTGATAATAACAGTGTGATTTAACATTGCACCTAAATTTTAAAGTATTTTTAAAGAAATGCCATCCCATAAATGTACATAAACTAGAATAATTTCTTTAGTGACATTCGGCTTTCCTGCAAAGATAAAAATGATTCATAATTAGCACTTTCATGTGAATAAGCATCACTTCAGTTTTTATTTGTCCTCAAACTTAAGAACCTTCAGGGAAAATCGATTTATCCACATCGTCTTCTCATAAGCAGTATAACCTTAGGCCTAGCTTTTTAAAGAATAACACACACACACACACACACACACACACACACACACAAATTCTAAAGTAAATGGATGAGCTGCCACTTCATTTGGAAACTTCCATTGGTTCTGACACACAGCTGAGTGAGGCAGGGTGTGGCAGGAAAAGGTGTTCATGTGAGCATGAGGGTACAGGGTTTCAGAACTGACACTGTTATTGTAGGTTCATCCCTGCACTTAAATAAACAGTTGTGTGCGTCACCTGTGCACACACGTGTCTTAGGAAGACAAAAAGGACCAGAGAGCGAAGGCATCAATATGTGATTTGAATTTCACCGTTCAAGGGAGAAGGTTGGCAAATGTTGGCTGGAAACTCTCGGCAGCTGGGCTGGAGGAACTCTTCACCCAGGAAGGCCTTTGGTCAAAATAATAAGAGGGACAATTGAGTATCTCTTGTTAAAGATCAAGTTTCCCATGGAGCAAAAAGAATGCCGGGGCAGTGAGACAAAGGACGTGCATCTTAATCATGGATGTCATTCTTAAAACACCCTTTGTCTATTCAGAGTGATTTTAGGACTTGGCTCTGTGGGCCGAGAGTAGAAAAGAACCAGAAGGAATTTTTATCAAGTTACGCTTTCAATAAACTGAGCTTTCTATGAAAGCATTCTAACCAACTTCATTCAGTACTTGTTTTGTTTTGTTTTTTTTAAGCAAGGGTGGTTTTGTTTTGTTTTCAAGTTAGAGGGTGCCCTGTAGTAAGCGATTTTGCTTGAACAGCTCCAGAACACATTTTTAAAATTGATCATTTGTTCACTGAGTTCAAAGAAGGGGAGGAAGAAAAGAAAATGGTATGCTTAGAGTTTTTCGTTTGTTTTTTTTTGTTTTTAAATTAGGACTACTTGCCCAGCAATGGGTTATTTCCCCCTTGAGCTCGATAAATGCATTCAACATTTGCCTACACCAGAGTCATAAATCCTTGTGGGAGCCATCACTACCCCCACCCCAGCAAATAGCCAGGAGGAGAGGCCAACCATTTGTACGCACTGAGGTATTCAGTTATTGCTAACTGGTGAAAGCCTTTTGCCACCCAGATGAAAAATAGATGCATATACTTAGGCGGTTCATCCAAAGCCTTTGATTGGCACACTGGATTAGGGCTCTAGATACAAAGAGAATACACAAATTTCAGAGGCTTTTTCCCTCTATGCATCAGCAAAGAAGTTGTGATCAAATATTTATTAGCCGTGCCTTTGGCTGGGCCATCTGAGTGTAGGGAGAAATTCGGTATCTTAAGGCAAGGACAGGCTGCTGACTTCAGCACTGCCTCCATACAAACCTGTGCTCTAATTACACAAAGCAGTCCCGAGCACCTCCTCCCTCTGGCTCCTGGGATGTGCGCGCTCCCTTATTTTGCAACTGTATTTAGTCATGGAATTTCCAGAGCCACTCGGAGTCTGGGGAGGCAGCCTGTGGCCAATGAGTCAGACTTTTAATTTGTGAAAACGGCTATTTGGTGAGTTGAGGTGATGCCCCGGCTTGGTCATGATTAGTTCAGATCATTGTGACTGAGATGGAAGCAGAGGCTGCTATTGATGATCTGTTCTTCGCCCGGTCGTGGAATTCAGCCTGCTTTCCCACCCTACCCATCCCCTGCTCCTCCGGAAACCTTTCTCCTCGACACAGCAGGGTCATTCATCCAATATTAATGTAGGAAAGCCAGGACCAGGGGCAGTAAGATCTCTTACTAATATAGCTCTTGAGGCACTAAGCGTTCTGTTAGGCATCTCCGGCAGCCTTAAGTATATTACTGACCTTCCCCTGTAGACGTTAACCCAACTGTAAAATAAGAGGCTGAGCTCTCTGTGATCCCTGAGGTCTGTGGTCCAAGCCAATGGTTCTAATCATTCAGGTAGGCAGCAGTCTCAAAATTCAAAGGAGAGCAAGCTTGATTTTGAAAAGATGGAGACCCTGTTTTTGGACATTCTGACTTCAGAAGGTTTGAGATAGAGCCTGTACATCGGTAGTTTTAGAAGTCTTTCGAGGTGACTCTAACTTAGAATTTTTCCAGGTCTAAATGATATTCTATTAACCTGAATACATTAATTAATTGTGTGAAACGGCACCATGAAGAACCTGGCTCATTACTGAAAAGGGAAGGTGTACATCCCTCTGTTCAGCCTGTCTCCGTGGGATACAGGGAGGGTCTGGGTACTTCAACTTTTTTGGGGTTCCGTCTTCCTGTCTTTTGCAATGGAGACAACCAGGCCATCATATGTGCCAGAGGTGAGGCAAAGAGAATGGTTTGTGGTAAGCAAGAAAGGTGACCCCTCCCCCTAGCCTTCACCCCCACCAAAAAAATCCCCAAAACAAATAGGAAAAAAAATTAGCTAGTTTTAGCCAACCAGGTATAATTCTGCCCATACTACTTGCACCGAAAGTGCTGACTCAGTCTTTCTTTTGTAGCCCCCACGTTCCCACCAGAAGATGACATCGTGACTCCAGGTGCAGAAGATAGCACGGTGACCCCAGGTGCCAGTGAAGAGCCCTATGGGACTGCTGGCTCGACAGCTGTGGTGAGCATCCCAGGAAGAGAGAAATTTGTTTCATAGGCATGCCGTCACATGCAAGGAGATCTATATTCATTCAACAGAAGCCACTGTGCACAGAATTGGTACATGGCTTGTAACAAAAGCTACTTCCCGGTTTTATCCAGCTAGCAGGTAGCTGGTGTGCAGATTGCAGGTGATTTGAGAGTACACACCAGGGTTCTCCAACTAGTAAGGAAGTAGGTTTATAGATGTCCAATCTGCGGCAGCCCAGTTTTCAATAGAGGAAAAGTCTTGGATCTTGCAGCACCATCATTGCTATAAAAGTTTCTAAATACATATTCACAAGTTCTTGTCTTATTGTAGACACAGACTAGAGCCCACCCACAGGCCACATTGGTATAGACGATGTGGAGTCTCCCTGGACACATCCCCAACCTAATGAATTTTAATCAATTCATATGTCTTAAGCACCTGCCACGGGCAAGACAAGATGCCCAGGAGGCACTGAGGAGATAAATAAGCCACACCCTCCACCCTTGAGGAGTTTATAATCTAGTTAGTAACATGGAACAGAGGGTCCTCCTGCCTCTCTAACTCCATTCCACCACAGCCCCACTCACTTTCTCTATTTCAGCCATGTTGACCCTTCTGACCTTTTGAACTTATTCCAGCTTCGGTTTTTGTGTCCTCTGCTTAGAACACTCACTCCCCAGATCTTTCCATGGATGACTTTTTCTCATGATTCTCAGGTTCAAATGTTATCTCACAGAGGTCAAAAGTAATCCTGTCCCCTCCACCCTCTTTTCCCCTCAGGAGTTACTCTCTAGCCCTGAGGTCAGCAAACGACCCACCAGATGTGGCCCACCACCTGTTTTTGTAAATAAAGTTTTATTGGAACACAGCAATGCTTATTCAGTTGACAATTATCTGGGGCTGCTTTCATACGATAAGAGCAGAATTGAGTAGTTGGTTGCAGCAGAGACCAAATGGCCTACAAAGATGAAAATATTTACCATTTGGCCCTCTACAGAAAAGCGTGCCAACCTCTGTTCTAGTATATCCCCAGGGTTTGGGACAATGCCAAGCGCATAGTAGGCACTGATTAGCCCATGACATAAAATTTACCATCTTAACCATGTTTAAGTGTACAGTTCAGTGGTGGTAAGTATATTCATCTTGTTGTGAAATAGTTCTCCAGATGTTTTTATCTTGCAAATCTGAATTTCTATACCCATTAAACAACTCCCCATTCCTCCTCACTCCAGTCCCTGGTAACTACCATTCTACTTTTTACCTCTATGATTTTGACTGCTCCAAGTACTCCATATAAGTGGAATCATACATCATTTGTCTTTTGGTGACTGGTTTATTTCACTTAGCATAATGTCCTCAAGGTTCATCCATGTTGTAGCATGTAACAGGATTTCCTTCTTTTTTAAGGCTGAATAATATTCCATTGTATGGATGGATATACTGCTTTTGTTTATCCATTCAGTGTTGATTTACACTTGGGTTGCTTCCAACTTTTGGCTACTGTGAATAGTGCTGCTATGAACATGGGTGTGCAAATATCTCTTCAAGACCTTGCTTTCAATTCTTTTGGGGCTATACTCAGAGGTGGGATTGTTGGGTCATATAGTAGTTCTATTTTTAATTGTTTTGAGGAAATGCCACCCTGTTTCCCCTAGTGGCTGCACCATTTTACAGTCCCACCGACAGTGCACAATGGTTCCAATTTCTCCACATTCTTGCCAACACGTTATTTTCTGTTCTTTTGGTAATACCCTTCCTAACAGGTGTGAGGCAATACTCTCATTGTGGTGTTGATTTGCATTTCTCTGATGATTTGTGATATTGAGACCTTTTTCATATGCTTATTAGCCATTGTATAGTATCTTTGGATAAATGTCTAGTCAGGTCCTTTGCCCATTTTTAAATCAGGTTATTTGATTTTTTGTTGTTGAGTTGTAGGAGTTCTTTATACCCTTACCAGGTATATGATTTGCAAATATTTTCTCTTATTCTGTAGGTTGCCTTTTCACTTTGATAGTTTGTGTCTTTTGATGCATAATGTTTTTAAGTTTGATATCCCATTTATCTATTTTTGCTTTTGTTGTCTGTACTCATTGGCATATTTGTTGAACGTTACTCTGGCATAAACTTTGGAGTCAACAGAACCATTCCCAATCTTGTCACTCGTTGGCTATGTGAGTTTGGGCATATTACCTAATCTCTAAGCCTTGTTCATACTATAGGACTAATAATGGGATCTACTTCATGTAGTGTGTGTGTGTGTGTGTGTGTGTGTGTGTGTGTGTGTGTGTGTGTAGTAAATGAAGTGTTTAAATGGGCTGGCACATTATAAGCTCTCAATAACGGCTAGCTATTATTCTCATTGAAGGGTGATACAACATAATATGTACCCAGAAAATGTTGCAGGGGAAAAAGTGCCATTCAAATTCAAGGGAGAGAAAGAATTAAAGCTAAGTGATCTAGTATTTTTTGAAGAGTTAAGATCCTAGGAAGTCAGCAACAATTAAGACCCATGGAAGTAAACATTTGGCATTCATTTCTGGAGGAGACTTGGTTTTATTCTTGTCAACGCTGTTGTTTGTTTTCTTATTTCCACTTTAAATTTATGTTGTCATATATTTTCTATATTTATGCCACCTTAAATTCTTTTCTGTTGTAAGGCAGAGGATATTTTTTAAAACATTCTGTTCTGTTTCTGTTTTTGTCTCATTTATATCTCCAATAGGTGCTCACAAGTACAAAGAGCATTCGTATAGAGGATCTGCCAACTTCAGAAAGCACAGTCCATGCTCAGGAAGAAAGCCAGAGCACCACAACCGTGTATGTGGCCACTAGTCATTCCATCGGTAAGAAAATTGGTCACCCCATAGGGATTGATCTTCGTTTGCATAATCAGTGTGTTCTGTAAACCTTGAACAAATATAACAACCAATAGGACACCTGTTGGAATCCACAAGCAAATTCTGAACTGAGCTTTATGTGGTAGGCTCACAATTCGATGTATTAGGTTGCTAAATCAAATTCGCTTTCTTGGGTTGCTGAACACAGCTCTCTACCTTGAATGGCCACTAGTGATAATGGCCCCACAGGGGCAAGTTAAGTAGCTCCTGGTGTCATGTTGCTGACCCTAAGATGATGCTACATTAAGAACTTTATGTTGACACCCTAGCCCATAAAACTCAGCCAACCTATGTAAATCTTAATAGATTCTGTACTAATGTTTACCATCATATTATTGAGTTCATGTCTGTACACATGGAGCAAAAATCTTTTCTGAAACAGCCTTGCCAGGATTTGGGGTTGTAATTGTGGTTCACAGTTGGCACCTGCAGCAGTGTGAATAGAACACCTTGGAGAGAAACTGTGAAGGAAGATTTTGGGTCTTCACCATTATTATGAGGTTTAGACCATCTCTGATAAGCATGAGGGAAGGTCACTGCCATTACAACTCAGCCATAGAAAGAGAGAACTTTGTATTTCTAGAGCTTTCCTAAAAGAAATTCGGTTGTTTGGATTTAAAAAAAATAAGCCCTAATTTGGACTAGAATAGGTAAAAGAAAAAAGGAACTAATCCTCCAATAACTGCAATGAGTGCTTGCCAACTTGAGCAATTTTATATAAATCATTTTACCTTGATTGGTATTTCTATCTTTAAATGAAAGTAAATACTGAGACCTTGCTTAAAGCAGTGACCCCTCAAACCAATTGCACATCTGAACACCTAGGAAGTTATTCTTTATTGTCAATATACATTTCCAGACCCAAAAGCCAATTTGATTCTACAGAATCTAGAGCACTTCTGAGGACTGAAATCTTTATATTTGTACAATCATGTTCATAGCAGCATTGTTCACAATAGCTAAAATGTGGAATTCTTTGATGGATGGATGGATAAACAAAATGTGTATATACATACAAGGGAATGTTATTCAGCCTTTAAAAGGAAGAACATTCTGATGCATGCTACAATGTGGATAAACTTTGAGGACATTTTACTAAATGGAAAAAGCCAGTCACCAAAACCCAAATGTTGTATGAATCCACTTAGATAAGTAGTAAAATTATGGAGACAGAAAGTAGATGAATGGTTGCCAGGGACTGGTGGGAGGAGGGTTTGGGGAATTATTGTTTAATGGGTATAAAATGTCAGTTTTTTGACATGAAAGGGTTCTGGAGGTAGATGGTGGTGATGATTGCACAACAGTATGAATGTACTTAATACGACTGAACTGTATGCAAAAATGATGAAAATAGTAATTGTTATGTGTATTTCATCACAATAGGGGGAAAAAAAGCTTCATCAACTGAAAATAAAGCCTAAAGGTCACTCCAAGATGCTAAAGAAATGGTTAACATTTAAATACCAGAGAAAACCAAATAGGGCTAAGCTAGGAAAGAATCATCATTGTAATTGATCATTAGAAAGCATTTCAAATTTTTAGAGAAGAATTGATCATTTGTAACATGAGTTGACAGCTAATTAGCAGCAGAAAAAAAAATTCAGTTGACAGAAAATACTTATGGTTACTCTCCTGTCCTGTCCTCTGCCCCACCCTGTCACAAAAAGTGTGACTTATAGCACATTCCTACTTCATATATCCTAAGAAATTTTCACATGTGAGTTAATATCTAATTATAAGCACTTGGGTTATTTAAGAAGTAATTTTATTAGGGCAGCAGATGTCTTTCCCATGAAACGCCCAGGTTTGGTGATGTTCACCATGTATGACACATTTTATGATCACAGCCATGTAATTAATTGGGAGGGAGCTAGGCAGTACAGGACTAATGAGGTCTAATTTAGTAAGGAATCTTCTATAAACTTTATTTTTAGTATTTTCTAACCACTGGTGTTGGTGATGACAGTGGGTTATGTAAGGCTGGAAATGGCAGCCGCCATGTTAAGACGTGATAAGCAAACAACAGACCTGTTTCTGTGTGTAGTTGGCAGCCAGGGATGACGTTTTGGGAGCTGATTCGATGACACCTTTGTTCTGGGTAGGATTCAGGTCCAGCACTCTTCCAGCTGCTTTTTTTATGGTAGGATAGCACCATCAGCTTGAGCTCCGTATAAATGCTCCAGAGCCGTGGGTTCAGCTCATGCAGGGAGAGTCAGGTTCGGGGACCCCTACCCTGGAGCCATCTTGAAAAGGTGTCTTTCTGAAGAGATCCTTGGCACAAAGGGGATGGCATCGCCCATACCCAGCCATTAGAAAAAGCAAGCACCTTGTAGATGATGGCTGGCTGGCTTCACCTTTGATTAGGAAAGCTATTAGGTATCTGTGGTGTTCTGCTAGTTGTAAGCTAAGGATCTAGGGAAGGACCTGATTTACTTACTTCTCTCTATTGTGTCATTAAGCCAAGGCACCTTGCCTTTTTCTCCATCTGCAAACTAGATAGAAAAATACCACTCAGAGGAGTTAAGGACTCTGGTTATGGGAAAAACAAAACAAAACACCTTTACTTTTAAATAGGAACTATGTAAAATTATCTGAAAGAACCTAACAATTTTATAACTCACTTACAACAAGACGCTTGTAAGTAAATAACTTATACCCATGTGATAGGTACGTGAAAATATTCACATTGTAATTATTGGACTAGGTTTGGCTGCAAATAGAAATCCTAAAGTAACAATGGCATGAACCCAGAGTGTATTCTCTCATTAAACTGCGCTGGGCATATTGTTTCCTGGTAAGATGTGGATTTTGCTACGAAAGAAAAAGCAGGGAATTCATGTCACAAAACAGATTCCGATCTTGGCCACATCTTCTAAAACTAGAGGCTATTGCTCCCAAAATGAAAATCTTTCAAAATAGACCTCATCCCAGTGTGAGTTTTCCATGATCTTGACATTGGACCAAGAATCATCAGCCTTGGATTCTTTTGTTACTCTAAGATCTAAAATTTTTGATCATTTATTTAGGACCTCTGTGGGTCAGTTTCCTTGATTCTGCTCTCTAAAGTAGATGAGAGAAAAGCAATATAACAAAAGTACTATGGACCCATAGGCGTGAAGAAGCATTCATAAATTCAATAATAATAGTTTTCAAGACAGGATCATGTCAAAGCTTGCTTTAAAATCCCCTGATCCAATTTATTTAAGAAATTATCCTCTTTGCTTGTGTTTTGCTACTTTCCACTTAGGGTAAATTCATCTTTTGCCAATTGTTAAATTATAGTTATTAAATCCTAATAATTCTATATCATTACATCTCTTTACAGAGGGCACACAGACAACAGTTGAGAAAGGTAAGCTAGATTTTGGTATCAAAATATTTTTTGGGGATTAAAAAAAATTTCTTTGAACCTAATCTTTGTGATGAATTACATTCTTTCCTGGATTGTAGTCAACAAGCACAGAATAGAGAACCTTCTGAGAACAGGTTTCCGACCTCTTTTAAGAGAGAAAACGGAATTGCCTGTATTTGAAAATAAGCAAACCACAAATGAGTCTATTCACTTAATGACAATTATGGAGAATGATGTCATATCATAATTTATTGTTACTAAGAATGAAAATGGGGGCTAACTTAATAGTCGTATACAAACGCTACCCAATAATTAACAGTGAAGCCACCCATGTGAATGGTGTGCTTGATAGATCCTGAGACCCAGAAATTTGTCTATTCATACGATGGGATTAGAATAGCCTAAAGTTTCTCCTCTCCTAAGACAATTTTCACTAGATACAGAAGAAACAACATGAAACATTATCTGCTATCTACAGTGGGGCAGTGGCATTGTGTGTAAATGACACATTGTATTATTGCGGGTATATTGTTTATCTGGAGCTCATGCTTTTTCTCCCTCTTGTTCAGATGGCTTGGCGACAGGGACCCTGATTGGAATCATAGTTGGGGTCTTACTAGCCATTGGATTCATTGGTGGGATCATCATTGTGGTTGTGCGAAAAATATCCGGAAGGTACTCGTAAGTGAATAACTTACACCCATGTGATAGGTAAATAAAGGTGGTCACTTTAGGGCTCCCACCTTTGAGCTAATGAAAACCTCTAAATGAAAGTCATGGTCAAAAGTGCCCTGCCTCCATAAGTAGAACCAGTGTCTACTTGGCCCTTATAAGTTTCCAAAAAAAGAGGCAGAGCCAGAGGTGGCTCTTTGGTTGACGCCCATTGAATTCTGACCAAATTTGGCTTCTTGTCTTCATTTTCCAGCTAACTGAACTTGAGAGAAAACCCAAACCAAGTGTGAACTTGATACCCCCTGGTCACCCTAGTCTCATGAGAGGCAGGAGGTTTCCAGAGAGCATTTGCTGTAAAGCCAGGGCTCCACCTTGAAGATGAATTCTCCTGGGGATGGGGTCTCCCTTTCTCCATCCTGCCCTGTATATACCCACACACATGGTGGTATACTCCCTAGCATTGACTATTGATAAGGGGAAGGAATCCTTTCTCCTTATTAAAGCTTCCTAAGAATTCAGAACATTCAAATTCATAGCCAGAAGAAAACGTTTTATTATTTCTGTTGGGGAGATGATATAGGATTATGGGCAGGGGGGAGTGGGGGGAGGACAAATGTTACACAACTGTGAGGTTGAGGGACACAAGTGACAATACAGTCACAGATGTATGTGTTTGGGAACGCCTGGGAATCTGACCTTGGCTATGTGAGGACCAGGCTTGGAGGAAGAGCTCCAGGTTTCAGAACTGGAAGACTTAGGCAACAGGACAATGGGAACATGACTCATGGGATGACTATTCCCAGGGCCCATAAAAGAAGTGACAGTCACCTTTCTCTTTGTTTTCACAGGCCCTAAAGAGCTGAAGAATGGTGCCCTTCTGCCAACATGTTTAAAAGCGAGAGTATCCGACCGCCCCCATCCCTGAGCATGTGGGAGAAGATGACCCATGGAAAGCTCGGCCACCCCACTCAAAATCCATGGTGATTCCTCCCCTTGCCAAAAGTAACTGCAGGAAAAATAATGCACCAGACTTGTTCTTCTAGCATTTGTCTTTTGAGAATTGTTTTTTTCAATGTAAATCTTGTAAAAGATGGTTTAAAAGACAAAATGCATAGAAAATGCAGCAAAACTATGTAAATTGATTTGTAACTAAGATAGATAATGTAATTCCATTGATGTTAGAAACTGTAATCATGCCTTGGTTCTGACCATTCTCTGTCATTTGAAATGCAAAGGAATCTAAAAAAAATATTTATACCAGTGGAGTCCTTGTGTCGAGTGCTGTCAGTAAGTGGCATAAGCATTTTGCAATTTCTGATCTGTTGAAATGTACACATTCCAGTCTAGTTTGGCCTATTTTTTAAAGCCTGACTTGGTGTGAATAATCAAGTCGGAAGCCTAAACTTGGGTAATTTGTAATGAACAGCTGCCTTTCACTGCCAGATAAATAATTTCCCAGGCATCCATTTTAGATCATAAACAGGAAGTCCATACTTTAGAGAAGCCATTTTATTTCTCATAACAAGGCCACCCAGGCAGCCTGTAGGCTTGCTTTACCATCTTCTCCAGATGACACGATGACTCAAAGGTTTGCTCCTACTTGCCGCCTTCACTTCCCTCAGATGATGGGGAGCCAGGGGTAAGGGGGTGGCCTCTCATTCACAACTCCTTCAGATTGGCTTCTTTGTTCTGGAATACAGATATCTCAGCCCTGATGATGGCCAAAGAGGCTGACGGGGGTCCAGTGGTGCCAGAGGCCCAAGTGTTCCAGAAATCAAGAACCCTGGTAGTCCCCAAACAGAAAGAAACCCAGCGTGTGCCTCTGGTATGGGAAATAGAACCCACCAACTTCCTAACATTAGTTTTATGCCTCAGAGGAAAGATTTGGGAAGCAAAAATAATCTTATAAAATATTAATTTTTAAAAAGCAGCTGGATTGAAAAATAGAAGATATTCCCCCATCTTCATATTATATCACGTGTTTCTGTGGGGTCATAATTGAGAGGATCAAAATAAAGAAGCCTAAGCCGCCATTCTGTGTTGGCACCATCCAGCTCAGTGCATTTCTTCCCAGAGGTCAACTGAACGCTTTTCCCAAAATGAAAAGTTTTTATACTGCACATGTGCTCTGCCATGACTGTGATTGTGCAGTTCTGATATCCTCTAAACTTACATGAGTTCAAAAAACAGGAAAACGTTAACTATCAGTCAGAAAGCACAGCCTGATCCTCCCATTTTTTGCAGTAACGTGTGGATATTATTTTAAACGGTGTGCCCTTCTGTTGCCCAAGTCCAGCTGGTCTACCAGCCCAGGTTCCATATTTAAACATCAACTGATTGAGAGAAGGGGATTTAGAAGAGCTTTTATAAGCTTATTGTCTTTCCGTTTCATCACTCAGATTCCTGAACAGGAGTTGGGAATAATGTCTGTTTCGTCTTTCCTATCCTTTTTTTTTTCTCTCTCACTGTGAAAAATAACAGTCCACACCCCAAGTCGTACACTGGACCCATTGCCTGCTGGAACAGGACTGTGGGTTTCTTAGTCACATCTGTGTTGATGCTCAATACAGTGTAGACATGTTTTAAAATAAAACAGATGACTGCGTAAAACACTGAGTCAGAGCTTTGATTGGAAATCTTGATTGAGTCTGGGTCACACTTAATGTCTTCAGATAAGATTGTAAATTGTGTCAGCTTCTGCCTCTGGGCTCGATTGGGAGCAAATTATAAATGGTCATAGGAAGTACATCCATGGGAAAGAAATGCAACTATGCCTTTCATCTTAGGGTTCTGTGGAAGTAGAGAGGTTAAGATCAAGCAGATGAATGGGATGAGAAGACAAGTGGCACCTTGGGACTTCTTTTGTTCTCTCTGGTTCTGAAGGGTTAACAAGGTTTTACCTGGCCCCTCATTTCTCTGCTTGGGAGGGAGGGGCCAGGTGAGAGAGCAGTTACACCTTGTTCCTGTTAGTCCTCCCTGGGAGCCTGACCTCAGGTGTGTTGGGCTTGGCTATGAAGAACAGGAGGTAATAACTCTCCTGAGGGTGTTCCAATTGCCTATGGGCCTGGGAACATGTTGCTTGAGCATTCTTGTTCCTGGGACATCTCACTGCTTTTCGGCCCTCCACTGCAAATGCTCTGCCTGGACTGGAGTTTGCAATGGCCAGGCGCTCTGCCTCTGTCCCTATCTTGTCGGTCCATCTGCTCCTCCCACCCCCACATACACTGCTCCATAAGAATTCCAGTGCCACACTCTCGGTCTCCTCCCTGCCAACCCTTTCTGCACTCATAAAGGTTGGATACTAGGAGCAGAAGAGTTGTGAGGATCACGCCTTCCTCATAATAAATACTTGCTTTTGTTCAATCAGGATTGTTGACTTTCCCAGATGTCAGAAACCCTGGGTGCCCGTTTCATAAGTGGTGACGCCAAGGGAAAAAGACCAGGATTCAAGTTCTGCTCCTTGACAGCTGTAATCCCTCAGACAAGTCAATTACTAACTTCTCTGGGCTACAGTTTTCGTAAGAACTCCCATGCAATGCTTCAGAGAGCATGCCTTTTCTAGCAGGAAACTAACTACATCCACCTACTCCCACAAACTGCAAGGGAACAGCCCTCAGGGATGTCAAGTGTAAATTTATGTTCCCTTGCACACTCCCTGCAGGTGGTGGTGGTGAACATGGAACTACCAAGGGAACTTGACATTTAAGGAAATGACCTACTCGTCCATCAGAACCACCTGGGGAGCAGGCGGTGCTGAAGTTAACTGAGCCATATCAGAGCCTTCTTTTAAGCCCTATTATTACTTTTGTTTGTTTCAACCTGGAAGAACCAATCGAACACCAGGACTTCATGCCACTTAAACAAGAGGGAAAGAACAAGTAACATAATCCCTCGCTGTCTCCATCTTTATTTTAATTCATATTTATTTAGTGTTCAGGGCATGGGCCTGTTTGTGACCCCTGCTTCTCTGGGGGATGATGTGTAATCTGATATTATAACTTTTTTTGTTGGGCCGGCCGAGTGGCACGTTGGTTAAGAGCTGGCTT